ATTTATTTCAGTTCAAGTTCTTGTTTCCTAAGAAGTCAAAACTTGTGGGTTGCTTTGAATTTATAAGTCATAATGGGCTGACCCAAACTATACCAGCACATTGCAAGTCTCCAGAACCATTTTTCACATTGTTCTCTTAACATCTTTCTTTGAGGGCTGGATTGTTTAGCTGGCCATATGTGAAAAGAGACCATATGCTGTCAGGAAGGGGTTTTTTTAAGTTCCACCAAGGTACAGAAAGATTGAAAAGATTTTAAGACAGGCTTGTGAAAACTTTAAATCATAAACCATTCCACAATGCATAAATCATACAATTGTTCAGATAGCAGCCCTCAGCTTACATCTGTTGGATGAGCAGCTATCAAAGCTATTTCATATTTCTTCAGTTCTATTTGCCTGCTTCATAGTCTGCCCAGTGTTGTTTTCTTTTCCTCTTGTCTGAAATGCAATATATAAAATACACAGATATTGTTTGCCATTACATCAACTCAGTTTTGAGTGTTGAACAACAAAATGCTGAGAAATAAAGCAAATTTCAGACAGAATAGAGAGAGAGTCACATGCTTCATCCACAAGTTATTACAGTGAAACCTGCCACTTCAGGGTTCAATCCCAAGTTATCTATGCTTTTGCTGACAATCTCCCAATATATTTTACTAATATAACAAGAATTCTTCCTCATTCTTACTCTTATCCATGAGATGCAGAAAACCAAGCCAACACACACTGTATTTTACAGCAATTAAATATGCTGATAGATTTCACAATAAGCATGTCTCAGGCAGCCCAGGAGATGAGTTCAGTCCTAGAGCTGCACCTTGGCTGTGCTACCTGAGCCAGAACAGACAAAAATCATTTCATCCAAAAGTTTTGCAGCAAGCAGAAATGCCTGCAGCAGCTGAGGAAGTTGTAACTGAAAACAAAGCTCTGCAGCCAACCCTGACAAATTCCTCAAAATGCTTTTTCTAAGCAGATTACATAAATTATTTATACCTGTGGAGGAGTGGCTGTGGGGTAAATTTGCCTGGGATTAGTTCAGGAATTGAAGGTTTCCTGAAGCCCCTTAGAGCTCAAACACCTTCCCCGCTCCCCAATGATGCTGGGTGTAGATGTTACACATGAAGACATTGCACAGCCCTTCCTCCACTTCCAGCTGGAGTACCAGCTCCTGGAGCATCTTCACACCAAGGAGGATCCCTTACAAATCCCAAACCTCATATATCTTTTCTTAACATCAAAATACCTGACCACTCCAAAATCCATTTATTCCTATCTTAATGAGACTGGGTTAAATGAAGGCACCATTCAAAGTCCAGATAAAATCAAAAGTTTAGAAGGATTCAAATGGGAAATGCAACCAGGCTTATTTAATATGCTCAGTTCAATATAAGCATAAAACTCCTTTTCTTTTCTGAATTGAGCAGCCAAGCTTTAGACTCCTGTTTAATCTAAAGCAGGCAGGAGCCCAGGTTTAACCCATATCCTCAGGATTGCTTTCAAAGGCACAAATTTCATGTTGAGGGGGTATCACCCCCCTCAGCCAAATTTGCAATTTGCTTGGGGATTCATTCACATCTCATCTCTCCTGCTCTTGGACTTGTTCAGAAAGTTATTTTCCTTCAAAGCTTCACCTATTTGAAAATATAGATTTCACTTTGGGAGTTCATGTCTGATATTTAAATGGGTGGAAAACCAGAAATCCATTGAGCCAAAAAAGTCTCCCTCTCATTCACAAACCTAAGTGCTGAATGGTTCCAATCAGCCACGGACACAGAAAATTTTGACATGCAAACAGAAAATCATAGTTTAGAAATCTATAAACTTTAAACCTATTTATATAGTTAATGAGCCTTGATTAATGACTTTGGAGAAAAGGGATGGTGCATAATCCTTGCCTTTGACATAACAAAATCAAAGAATTTAAATGCTGAAAGAGAGCTGGTGTGTGTAATAAAGTTCATGGTGGTAAAATATGAGGAGTTTTGAGAGAATTGCAGTGTTTGCTAATTTACATGCCATGAACTACACTAGCAAGCTCTGGGGATCTTTTTATGCTAATGGGATCTGGAGTAGACTAAAATGGAATTCCAAATAAACATATATATGTATGGGTCATAATCCAGTAACTGTAGTAAACACATCCTGAATAAAATTACTGAGGAGAACAACAAGAAATCCTTGAGCAAACCCTGGAGTGTTATTTGGGTATTTTATACAAACCAAAAGACCCCTTGCGCATTTGTGCATTCATGCCATAGAGGCACCGTGCTGCAGTGCAGCCTTCAAGCAGGTACACAAGTTATCCCTGTGATACAGAATGGATTTACGCAGGAAATTGAGCCCCTTTCCAAAGACTCAAGTGATCAATGCCAGAAGAATTGGTGGCTGAGATTTCAAACAAACCATTTCACCAAAGAGCTCTAATATGAATTATTTGCATGGACAAGTCAGGTGGAGTGGGTGCATTTCCAGTATTTTACTTTAATAAGTTAAAAATGGAGTTATATTTTTTAATAAGGTTTTATAAGGATAAAATATTTAATTAAGAAATTACATTTAAATTATTTTGATTTTTAACTTAATGAATAATGATTTGTAGTTTGTAATGCGGATGTATTTATTTAGTTATATAATACTGCTTAAACTTGTGAAGAAGGATTAGTTTTTGTTTTTAAAAATATTTTTATATAATTATTGTATTTTAAAATTTTAAGGTTTTTATTATGTGATAATAACATACTTTTGTTTAAATAACAATATAATAATTTTATTTAAAGTTTAATTTAGTTTTTAATTTAAATAAATAATATATTTTTATTTAAATTACACAATCAATCTCAGTTTTATTATTTAATTTTTGAAGTTTTCTCCATAGTCTTAGGTTAAATGTAGTGTTCTTTAAGGGGTTAGTGTTAGTATAGAAAGTCTAAAATTCTCAGTATTTAGGGTTTTAACAGCATACAGCCAGCAATTGTGAGCTGATCCATGATGCTTTTCTAGACACAGGAGTTTCTGCTAGAAAAGTTAGTTTATCAGCTGGCTGCTCTAATTAATTTACTCTTTCAGTCTGTAGTTGTCACAGTACAGAAATGAGATGCATGCAAAGAGACTCATTCCAAATCAGCATTTTCTAGACCATGAAAGTTGGTCTAACTATCAAAACTCCCCCAAGTCAAACACTCAATGCTCCTATCCAAGTCATGGTCAAACATGCAGCCTTGGCTCACTGAGCACACCAGTGGCATGCAATTGTAGCCTTGCAGGGGCATTTCAAACCTGTCTTGACATAATCAATAACCCATTCTCCACAAAGAACAAGCAGAGTATTGGAAATAAACATTTGTGTCGCCAGGTCAGGCCCATGCTGGCTTTTCCAGCTGCAGTGCTGCACACTTTTGTACAAGGACTTATTGCCCCTCAAGTTATGCTAAAGAGAGGCAAATAAACCCTCACCCAGCAGCTCAGGCCACCAGCATCACCTTTGCTGGTGCTTGGATTAGTCAGAGGCGGATTATAAAGTCAGATAATGGATTTCCTTGTGTGGTTTCACATGTTGTCCCTATATCTCTTCTGCCAATTCACCCTTATTTTACTTTCTTAGCCAAACCAGGCAATGCCATTCCTGCTGTACTGTTTGACCCTTCAGAGTTATCACCCATCTTCTTGTGGCTATTTTTAGGAGACTAATCTTTGGGGGGAGATGTTAGTGATACTCACTAAAACCTCATACATTTTACCACTCATCCTCTCATTTACACACCAGGAATGTGCAATACTTCAACAAATATTGAATAATTTCTGTTTCAAAATAACTCCCTTAAATTTAAAACCCATGAAGAAACTAGAGCTGATGCTAAGGGTTCAGGACCAAGCTCTTCACTCACATTTACTGTGAAATGTTGTGGGACAAAAGAGTGCTCCTGCTAAACACTGCTTCCAAAGTGTCTCACCACACTTTTATACTGCAGCTTTTAAAAGATAAGGACTAACTCTACACCACATATAATGTATTTAGCTTTTTCTTACACTTTTAAAAGCAACAGCTGCAATCAGTTCTCTTTTCTGATGACATTAGTTGTCCATATTCAACATTCCCAAGGAAGATATAACTTATGGATTTCCTTTAAGAGGCCAATGTAAGAGAATGTAGGAAGCCTAGATCTACCCCACATGCACTAATGAAAGAAACAAAACAGATCAAGAAGTTAAATTCTATCTCAGAGTTGCATTTGTTTTCAGCAAGAGTATTTTAATAATTAGAGTAATTAAGTCTAGGAAGAAGCTCAGACACATGGAAAAGAATTAATTTCTGACCATTCCATTTCATGGCTGTACACGCTTGTCCAGTCCTTCCCAGCAGATGCATTCTATGATTTCCTGATCCTGGGTTGCTACACAGCCAGCAAGACAGACAAGATAAATAAGTCAAAACCCAATTCCACAAAAGCCAGGTAATATCTCTTTGTATCAGTGACCCAAGCTAGCCTAGAGCAGGTACAAGAAAAGAAAATGGAAAAGGGATGGAGCAGGAGGGCAGTGAATTCCTGACCCTTTCAGCACTGACTTAGGTTAACCCCAGGTCTCAAGAAGCCACATCTGGGTAAAAATGGGCAAAACCATTGTGCAAGGTGGGCATGAATAAAGAGACATTTTTCATTGACATTTCACTGAAAACCAAGAGAAGAAGAATCAAAGAATCAATTCTTGCAACCTGCAAGCTGACATGATAAAATTTTGAAATCAACACTGAATTCCTATTTCTATACTCAGCACAATTGACCTTGTATCAGTAACTGCTCCTGTCATCACATTAGCAGGAACCTCACTCATTAAAACACCTCCCCTTTTGTGCATTCCTGAAAAAAATTCCCAGATTAACACGTTGCTCAAAATTCCTTGGGTTTAGAATTCTTTTATCTAAGAGTCTGCACACAGCCTTTTAATAGATACTTTAAAAGAAGAACCCTAAAGAAATAGAAAAAGTAGTTCACAAAACTCACCAAGGCTCACCACTGCCATGGGAGGAGACCCTAGATGTTCTGTTTAAGCCTGGAGTTGATTCCTTCTCACAACAAGGTGTTCACACCTGGGAAAAATACTTAGTTTAGTATCAAGTTGCTGTTGTGCATCTCTGATACTGTTCTGTGTGCACAGTGCCTCCAATAAATGAAATATAAAGAAGTAATGCACTGTTGTGCTTGCTATGACCTCAGAAACACAGCAAGTGGGGTCAAAAGCGCCAGAACCTCAGACATGAGGAAAGAAATGCAAGCAGATGGAGGAGGAGCAGCTCTAAGCATGTCAAGGCAAAGAAAAAAAAATAGATTAAAAAATCCAATGTGAATTTAAAAAAACTCAAGGTGTTGTTCCTAGGGAAACTTAGGTTGGCTGAAGAAAATAGAATTTCAGTGCCTGCTGTTACCCTCTCCAAGGTGCCTCATATCTGGCAATGTACTGAAGAACCAGAAGAGCTGGAATTAATTAATTTAATTCAAGTCCTAAGTAGTCAGTGCAATGATGCTACAAGAGAGATACATGACCTCTCTTAATCAAAGCTGGAGAAATTAATCCCCACACTGGAGGAGATGACATGTACTCCTCCCCAGTCTATCCAGCCTATTTTCCCATTTCTTTAGATTTTTCTGTATTTATGTGTGTATTTAGGTGAGATTTTCACTGTACTGAGCCATAAATGATGGAGGAAAGAGTTTCTGCCTGTTCATAAACAGTGTACCAGGTGTCAGGGTTGCAATTCAGCTGTCAATGGCCAGGACTGAATTGTGATAATAGAGGCAGAATTGCATAAAGGAAGTTCTCATCACTCTTGAATTAGATTATTTCACCTTTGTCTTATCCAAGGTTTTCTCCTTTATAAAAAGGGAAAGAAAACCTCAGTTCTGACTCCTCTGACAAGTGATAAGGAAAATATGAACATGTTGGACTGGGAAAAAGCGGCTTCTAACTCTGGCTGTGTCCCAAAAATCTGTATGATCTGGAGCAGCCCCTGTTCCCCCTTGTGCTTTGAGGGAGCTGACTCCCCTCACACGGATCCCAGAACCAGCAGCTATAAATAAAGTATACAACTAAAAGCTGCAAAAATAAAAGCTGCAAACCTGCCAATAGAGTGTTTGGCTACCCCTCATTATATTTAAAACAACAAGAAAAATTAATGCAAGGATAAGATCCCAGGGGGAGTGCAAAAAAATAATGGCAACTAACCTAAAAAGACACGTAACCTATCTGAATACCATTTTTAACTCCAAAGCATAAAGTTCTGTACTTTAAACTCATTTTTTTTTAAAAAAGCAATGAGGCATTGGTTATGCCAGTAACAGCCACAGGAAAATGCAGCTTTCTGAAAAACAGGAGAAGCTTATAATATTTTATCCTTTTTTTTATAGTGTGTCCTTGGAAAACATCACTCAGTAATTATGCTTGTGCTGTTGCATATTTTCTGTGGTGCTCAGGCTCCTTTGTCTGAGCCAGGTGTGTACATGAAGGGAACAGATCCTCAAAAGCAGTGAATACCTCACATTTCCATTGATGAAGGCATTATCATCTCTGAAGAAACAGACTCCCCTGTCTCCTGATTTAGCCATCATTGCATTTACAAAAAAACCAATGCAAATAATTTATTCAGACAAGCTACCAGCACCTGCAGAAGGACCTGCCAGTGTGACCAGGAAGGTTGTGCTGGTCCTGGAAAATCTTCATTTTTTCTTTCCCCTGCTCCAGCTGGAGGGTCACAGCTGACAAGAAGCAGGCAGAGAGCTTGGGAAAAAATCCTGTGCCAAATGCCCTAAGATGCAGCAGGTCTTTCTAAGAGAGGAACCTATAACCAGGTAGACCAGCAGAAAAAGAAAACTAGATATATTCACATTTCACTTGGCAAGTTCTCGTCATACACTAAGAAATCATTTTGGAGCTCCTTAAAGGATAAAAATGCCTTTTTTAAGGATTAATTGGGAATTTCAAAGGGCTCTTAAAGGGTTTAAGCATTCTTCCAGCACCACAGGGAAAGCAATAATTAGCTTTTCTCAGCCAAACTGTACTTTTGAGCACTGGAGAATAATGAAGTATTTTCCATATCCCTACCTGCACAACGTTTATCCTCATCCCTGTGAGCCAGGCTCAGGCAGCCAGGCTGCAGGTGGCTGTAGACTTTGCTAATGTTAAGAGAGGTATAGGCACTCCTTTGGGGGGAATTAACTGTGAAATATACAGATCAACTAAGTAATTCTTAACCTTATTCTTTGTGGAACAAGTCATTCATTTAAACCACCCTTATTATGCTAATCCACCTAAAGCAAGTTTCACAACAAACAAGCAGCCACAACCATTTTCTCTCCTAAACAAAAACAAAACAGAATATGTAAGTGTATACATTTTGAAAGCCTTTTTTTTTTTTTTTTTAAAAATCATCTTTACTGGCAACATCAGGATCAGTGGGAGGCAACACAGAGCACCAGTGAGACAGTATCTGCAGAGGTTTGCTTGGGTGAATTCATTATTGCTTGGCAAACTGAGCACTTTCCTCAGGAAATATTTTGTCCTTTGGAGTTTTTTGATTTAAACATACTTAGTTGATGCAGCTTTTTCCTAAGTGTCTCTTTCTTAAAAGCGCCTCTGGCAAAAAGCAGAGGATAAAGGCGCAGCAGAGCCAAGGAACCCAGGATGCCCTTGCAGCCTGTGTGCCCCTGTTATACCCCCAGGAGGCAAGGGCAGGAGGAAGGTGAACACAACCTCGGCTGCATTGTCCTTGGGCAATCACAATTTGGAGGGGGCAAAACCCACCAGGGGATCTGCACTGCCAATTTTCCTCTGTTAAGGAAAAACATGGCTAAAAATGTGCAGTTTTTCCAGAGGAGCCCAACCACCCCCAGCCCACACCAGCCACTCAACCACACCTACCTCACAACCAGGCTTACTGCAATCACTCCTCCTCCTCCTCTCCTTCACTTTTAAATGCTTTGCTGCCATCAGAGATGTAATTCCTGCCACCTGTCCTGCAGAGCTGTCCCACCCTCGTCTCCAAAGCCCCATCACATTAATAAATGCTGTGCCACAGCAGGGTGGGGTTTGTCTCAGGCTGCCACTGCCTGCACGAGTATGGGCTGGAGGGATGAGGCAGACCAGGTAAAAGCCCTAAATGTTTTCTATCATGAATATCAAATAATGGATAAAATCTTAGATCTCCACTAATAACTGAACTCATGGGAAAAGATTAAAACTGTGTGGTGTGAACTACATAAATCCATTTAGGTAAAAGACATGAATTTTGTTCCTTGGATGTTTTTGGTGCCATGGTAGATTATGCAGACAGGTATGCAGACTACAGCACCTCACAATATAGGTTCTTAGTTTCCAGAGAGCAATAACTGGATTATCTGGATGAGCTGGATTTATCCCAGCAGCCACATTGTGGTGTCCATCCAACACACACAGGGAATCCATCCAGACCATGCCAGTCTCTGCAGCTTGACAATGCAACATCTGAGCAGGTGCAATTTCAAAACCAGCATTCACACAGTGAGGGAAACCTCAATGCTTCAAGGAACTGGAGCTCCTAACAGCACAGCTCCTCAGGGCCATCTGCTCCCTGCTCATGCAGGACAATTTTAAACTCAGTTCCCTGCAAAAGCAGCCTGCAGGTCACAGTCACAGGGAGTCCCCACTCCTGGCCACTGCCACCAGTGACACGAGCCCAAAGCTCTGCACAGGGGCTGGAGCCTCCTCATTCAGTGTTGGACACCTGACCCTGCAGAGCAGGACTGCATAGTGTAGGTTTGACTGAAAGCAGAGGCAAGAACAGAAGGGAAAAGAGTTTATGTGGTTAAGCTGAGTGTGAACACCAGAGAGGTTGGACCTAAATATCAATATAACCTATTTCATTCCAAGGATATATTTCTTGCCCACTGAATGATCAGTTAATCCTCCTTTTTATTCTCCTCCCTTCAGTGAAACTCCCAAGTTATTGCAGGTGTTATCCAGGGACACAATATTCACAGTTCCATTTGCTTATGTTTTACTGCTCCCATTAAAATCTGTACAAAGTTTAGAGACTGAACTTGAATTGTGCCCTTACTGGAAGCAGCTTGAACCCTCACTTCTTCACTTTCATGCTACAAAAATGAGGAATATCCCCAGAACTCTCTGAATGAGAAATTAATTCCTTGCATAATTTCTTTTCCCTTTTTTTTTTTTTTTAAAATGAGGAATATCCCCAGAACTCTCTGAATGAGAAATTAATTCCTTGCATAATTTCTTTTCCCTTTTTTTTTTTTTTTCCCTCTCTTATTTTTCTTTCTCTATGTCCCCAGCCTTGCTTTTTATATGCCTTTCAAACCTCAGCATATGCATATACCTCATTTTGGGCCCATCTTGACTTGCTAATATCATATGCAATCCATGCCTCCCATCTCACCAAAGTGAATGCAGTAAAAGAGCAGAATGCTTTTTTTCTGAGATGTCATGTAACACAAGATATGCAAACTGTCTCTGATTGGAAAGAAGAGATTATTTTTCCTGTCAAATACATATGCTTTATGTACACTGCTTGTTAGAACAATGTTCAACAAACATTCCATTTTTAAAGGCTAGAATATGCCGAAAATGAGTTTTGCATGCAAAATCTTCATGTATAAGAAGAAAAATTGGAGTACTGCACAGTGCATTCTGTTATCAGGAACAAACATGGGCAGCAAGAAGCTTCTGAGGGAGTGGAGACTGCCAAGTTTGTCTGTAGAATTTTGAGTTTGTCCTTTTTTTATAATGACCCATGTGGCGGGGAGGGAAAATACATGGCAGCAGTGCCAGCCCTGGTGCCAGTGCTGAGAGGAGGGAGGAACCATTGTCGGGGTGCAGAGGCTCTGGGCAGGCTGTGTGGTATCCATAGGATTCAGCCAATCTGTTCCTGCAGCTGCCAGTTTTATGCATGATTTACCTGGCTGGATGCAGCTCCCGCACCGGCGCTGCCAGCTCCAGGGTTGGAAGGCTGCGCTGCCAGGGCTGCTCAGAGCATCCACCCAGCCCTCTGCTGCCCCAGAAAAGGGAGGAGGACTCCAGGATTTTGGTCTGTTTTAGCTTGTGTTTATATTTTCTTTTTTTTTTTTCTTTTTTTTTTCCTGAGCTTTTCTGTATAGCTCTCAATGCTCGCAGATTTTTTTTTTTCTAAATTTTCTATTTTTCCTCCAGATGGGCTTCTACTAAAGATTACAAGTAAACCAAGGAAAACACATATGAAAAAAGGCTTTTTAAAACCAGACAGTGGGACAGCACACGCACTTGTCATCCCTCCATGAAGCATAGGCTATTAAAGATGTAATATTTCCACTATATCTCAGCTGCAGTACAACAAGTGACTCCAGGTGAGCGAACACAGCTGACCTTCCATAAGCATTTCCAATACCCTTCAAAATATCACATTATTTACCAGTTGTGGGAAAGTGTTCTTTAGTAAGCAGCACAAAGCAATCACAGTGGCTTTAGAGATTTTAAAGGTTTCCTAAGGAGCCACAAGTGTCTGTAAGATGCCCTTGGGGCTTCTGTTTTGCGCTGTGATTGTGCAGTGTTTTATTTCTATCATAAAGTGCATACAAAGGGAAAAGGAAAGAAGTAATCTCCTACAGCTGGAAACCAAATTACAAGACTCTCTTATAATAAGGAGAGATTTTCCCCAAAGTGACACAGTGGGACATTAAGTCTTTGAATTTGATCCTACCTAAATGAACAGGAAAAAATTCCATTGACTTTAGTGGTAGAGGATCAAACTCCAAAGGAGCTATTTAAAATATTATGTAGGTGATGTATGAGTGTGGTTTCATATATGTTCATTAAGAGTCTTTTTATCCCCTCCTCCCCTCTGAAAATGCTGCAGAAATATTATCAGGTTCTGTGATTACAGCGTGTGCTGATATGCCAAAGGTATCTCTAAGAGCAGGGTTTTTGTTGAGGCACTAACTCAGATGAGCTTTATATTAACAGGAGTTCACAAATAAGGTTTTGTTATCTCTGCTCCTGGCAATTGTCAGGGCACACTGAAGCATTATTAACATTCCTGCAATCAGCAAATGAAACACAACACCCAGGACCCAGCATTATCCCTAACTTCAGTTCCAAACAGTTTCCTTCTAATCTACCTTTTAGCACAACTTCCAGAAAAGAAGGAATTAATATAATGAGAAGATTTTCTGAGGACTCTCTGGCATCTTGAATCCTCTTTGAAGTAGAAAAATAAAAATGGAATTATACCTGCACCCCATTACATTGGTGTGACTCGCATTTAGGAGATTCAGCTTCTATGGCTGATTTTACAAAAGTCAATATTTCCTACTTTGCCACTCCATGAATACCACATGAAAAACCTGGACCTGAGCTCAAATGCAGAGGAAATTAGAATTTTACAATTATTAGGGATGAAAATGAGTATTGTTTAAATTAATGCAATAAAAAATGTTTGTAATCCACCTGAATTTACCTTTACTGTTTGCATTAAACTGAAGTTGCTTGCAGTCACCTGTGTCAGGGTTATACTCAGAATTATATTTGAAGGAAGGAATCATAACTTGTGAGGTCAAATTTTTCAGTCTAATTCCAGTTAACCAAATGTCTTGAAAGGACTTGGATTTGTCCTGACTCTTGTTTAGCCATAGGAATGTTCATGAACTGCAGAACCAGGGTTTAGTTCATTGGAATATTTTGGAAAGTCACAATTGTCTCATTGTAAGGCTTGATCCAGAAAGTGCTTGTGTTCATCTTCTATTCAGCACAACAGACTTTAGAAAATGTTTAATAGGAGTCAGAAAGTGATACGAGAGAAATTATACATGGGTGGCTAACTGGTAAAAGAAAATAAAACTGAGCTAATGGCTAGTCTTGAGAGATTCCTATGGGACAGGATCATCCTTAAATAAAATCTATTAAGAATAGGCATTCTAATTTTGCGACAGTTGCTCAAGCTTTGCTCTTCCCACAAAAAGAACTTTTAGTTTACATGGTGGGGTTTAACATTGCAATATGGGATAAACCAGGCAGTTTCAGGACGACGACTGATGAAGCTAAATAAACTTTGAAAGGCAAGGAAAAGAAAATAAAGTTCTTTTAAAGGTAGTGTCCTGGACAGCCAAAGAAGATTATGATTCTGTAATTCAGTTTCTTAACAAAATCCTTGCTAATACTCACATTCCTGTAAGCTCTGAAGTGCTGCTTTCATACAGACAGGCAAGTCCAGTCTGCCCTATCCTGAGCTGATCCCTTCCAAACCATTTCAGTAAAACCTAATCAGATCTCTAACAAAAGGAGCTGCAGTGGCTGTTTGACTCCTGGCAGTGACTTTATCACTCCTCTCCCTTTTGTGGCTCCCTTTGTGCAGCTGTGAGTTCATCACTGCCACTCTGGTGCTGGGGTCTCAGGATTTTTGCTCTTCTACTTAGCTGAGTTTTAGCTCAGTGCTTTGAATCGCTGCTTATGGGATCCTGTGTTATTTTATAAAGTAACTAAGGGCTGTGGCTGTGCACAGGTTAACGGCTGTGGTGCTTCGCTGCTCCCAGGTGGGTGTCTGGTCTCTGCCTGTCTCTGCCCTGTGATCCCTCCTCCCTCCTGCCAGCGCTGCTCCCCCTAGGCTTCTCTTAGATCACCTTGCAGGAACAACTCTTTTGCTGGGTGCTTTTTCTACCACCATGTGTAATTGGATTAGAATTGTAGAATTACCTCGTGGAGGAGTCTGCTGGGCAGCAAAGCTGCTATAAAATGCATAGATGGAGGATGTAACCAGGAGCAGAGGATGGGAAGATCAGGGTCTCCCCTTTCCTGCAGCAATAAGCTCTTCTGTCAGCTCACCAATGTAGCCATGATATTTCCTGAAAAATCACTTTGCCAGGGTTTTTTCTCCTGAGAAGCTGAGAGACTTCAGGAACAAAATGTAAACAATGGTTAT